TGGTCAGCAGCAGCACTCGGGAGTGCCCACATACACTGACCAGGAGATTGACATCCTCATATGAGCTGAGAAACCTCCTCAAAGGTCTTAGGGAAGCAAAAACAAAATGCCCCCCCCCTTTTTCATTACACATTGCACCACCAGTCTCCATGGATGGGATCTTTTCTTTTTCCCACTAAGAAAAAGTTGTGATAGAAGCAAAGAAAACATCATCAAAGGGATTTGCCTTTGAAGCAGCATATACATTTTTGAAAGCCAGGGTTATCCATAGGGTGGGCCCCCTCCACCTAACTACTGATGAATGAGATGGGCCTGGCCAAATTTCAAGTCAAAAAAAAATTTTTTTTAACGTTTATTTATTTTTGAGAGAGAGACAGAGCACGAGCAGAGGAGGGGAAGAGACAGAGAGGAAGACACACAATCTGAAACAGGCTCCAGGCTCCAAGCTGTCTGCACAGAGCCCGACGCAGGTCTTAAACTCAGGAACAGTGAGATCATGACCTGAGCCGAAGTCAGACACTTAACCAACTGAGCCACCCAGGCACCCCAGCAAGTCAAGTGGATGAGTGTTTCCCAAGGGTCACAATTCCCAAGGACAGTCAACAGCTTTTAATGGCCTGTCAGTGGAACACATATTCACATCAGACCTACTTGTCCATCAAAGTAGATTTCTCACAAAGGGCCACCACCTGGGGTTCAATGCCTGGCTCCTAAGGCCTCCTTGGTGGTGCTCTAATGGCATTGATTTCAGGCTAGTGGACCGGTCTCAGCACCGTCACAGTAGCCTGAGGATAACCACTCTGTGCTTCCCACTCTCCAGGAGGCCTTCACTGTGCCTCTTTTAATATATGCCAATTGTCCCTAGATGCTTCTGTGATTTCTCATCCGTAGGACATCTTTGTCATTAATAAAATGTTGACTGGGGGCCTCTCATACACCCAATCATAGTAACTATACAAAGCAAGAGTCTGGGATCAATCTCTTACCACCATTTAGGTTGGAAAACCATGAAAGGACGTGCAGACACAGCACAAGGCAGTAAAGGCCAAAGTGCAAGTTCACCAGCAGCCAGTACTACTCTCAGGCAGAACTTGCTGTTTGGTGCAGTCAGTGAGCCAAGAGCAGCCTAGAGGCATGCACCCCACCAAAACACTGAGTCACCTTGTGCCAAATGATTTGTGCTGGGGTCTTAAATTATAAAGGTGACTGGATGGTAACACAGGTTAATGCCACTGAAAGTTTATCATGCACAGTCCCAAGAGAAGGGGGCACACCAGCTAACGCTGGGTTGGGGGGAGAGTAGAGTTTACTTTAAAAAAACAAACAAACAGGAGGAGATAAAGCAGAAGAGTCAAAGAGATGGCAGCATGAGACAGACTTGGACTGAAGTTGCTGGCCTTTAAGGAGTAAAAACAGATCCACCAAGAAAGGAAAGTGTGAGGCATCTAGAAGCTGGAAAAAGCAAGGAAACAGATTCACCCCAAGAGCCTCCAGTCCTGTTAACATATTGATTTTAGCTCAGTGAGACCCTTTTCAGAGTTCTGATCTCCAAAACTGTAAGCTAGTAAAATTTTTGTTGACTTATGACATCATTTGGTGATTGGTTACAGCAGCAATAGTAAATTCATAACACATTGTAAAGCTGGAATATTAAGGTATAGATTGTGAGGTCAAAGAGAAGCACTTACCTTTATTCAGGATAGAATGGACAGAGCAGAACAGGATGGACAACGCATATACAAATTTCTCAGAAATCTATTCCAAGAAGACTTTGGCACACCCTGTTCCACAAAGTCAGCTTTTGAAAAGGTCCCCAATGACTTTTATGGTTAAATCCCATCCTCATTTAACTCCCCCAATCAGCATTTGGTATAGTTGAGCAAGTCACTGCTCCTTGCTTTGGATTAATGGATTAAGACACCAATCTTAATCTACTCCTGTTCCATGGGATCCTACTTCTCAATTCACTTGCTACTTCCTCCCATGACCCCAACTGCCAAAGTGTCCCAGGGCTTGCCAATCCTCAGGTGAAATGATCTAACCTAATGGTTTTTTTTTTTTTTTTTTTTTTTTTAAATTTTTTTTTTTCAACGTTTTTTATTTATTTTTGGGACAGAGAGAGACAGAGCATGAACGGGGGAGGGGCAGAGAGAGAGGGAGACACAGAATCGGAAACAGGCTCCAGGCTCCGAGCCATCAGCCCAGAGCCCGACGCGGGGCTCGAACTCACGGACCGCGAGATCGTGACCTGGCTGAAGTCGGACGCTTAACCGACTGCGCCACCCAGGCGCCCCTAACCTAATGGTTTTAAGTGCCGCCTATACACTGATGACTGAAACATAGGTGCTCAGCCTGATGAGCTTTGTCTTCCCATGTACCAAGAAGTCTACACACAAGCAGGTCCAATGGCTGAGCAATGATACCAGGAGGGGAAGGCATCTCTTGTGTTTTTCAGCCATTCCACATTATCTGTGGCTTTTGTCCTCATAGTCCACAACATATCACCTAAACTCCAGGAATGTACCTGATTTCCAGGAAGGAAAGAGAAAGAATGGAGGCCAATCATTGAAGAGAAAAAGCCATTGGAAACTATCCCCTTTTTATCAGCTTTCCCAGAATCCACACTGATGACTTCTGCCTACTTCTCACTAGCCAGGACTATGAAATAAGTCTTCCCATAAACCCAGGGAAACCTGAGAAGTAGGAATATTTTTTTAACTATATGCCTGGAGATAATCTGGATTCTATTTATAAGGGACCAAGGGACAAAGAATATTGAGATGACTAGATACTACTTGCCGTACAAAGCCAGAGAGAATTTTCCTGTAAATAACCAAATAAGGATATATATAAAGAGCCCATTTTATAACCCACTTGCAAATATACTAGAAAGCACTACCTAAAAACATTTACAAAATGCTCTTACATTGCCAATTAAACTTCCAAATATCTCGTAATTCACTGAAGACTTATATAGGGAAGTCTTTAGAAGTCTTTATAAGTCTTTATAATGAAAACACCATTATATGAAATGAGTATGATATTGCAGAAATTCTCTAGAGTGTCTTTATTTTTTAAATGTTTATTTTTTGAGAGAGAGAGCACACGCGACTGCAGGGAGGGACAGAGAGAGAGACAAAGAGAGGATCAGAAGCCAATTCCACACTATCAGCACAGTGCCTGACACGGGGCTCGAACCTATGAGCCGTGAGATCCTGACCTGAGCTGAAGTCCGACACTTAACTCACAGAGCCACCCGGGCGCCCCGAGCACTCATGAGTCTCTTAAGGTAGCTCAAAGCCTGGATGTGTATTTACCAAAAATCATCCCCACAACTTTACATTCATTCAGCTTCTTTCCAGGGTGGGTTTTCACACACAGATTAAGATTTATAAGATGGATACACCATTTCCCATGAACCTGATAACCACAGTTTCTCTCCAGTGTGGATTATCATTTTTTACTAAAGGTCAAAAGCCAAAAACCACACACACACACACACACACACACACACACACACACACACACACAGGCATTTCCCTTTGCTGCCTCTGTGAGATTCATAACATTTGCTACCTCTGTGAGATTATCAAAGATTATCAAAGATTCGCTTATGGGGCAGAAGTAAAGTTTTCCCGCATTCATCTTACCATCAGAGGGTTTCTCTCCACTGCATGTTATGACTTACTCATTGACACCTGAACAATTTTCAGCACTTCTCACAGTCATGACTCTTCTTGCATATGAAGCAATCAAGAATTTCTGAAGGTTTTCCCATATTCCTCATATGTATAGAAATCTCTCCACTGTTGAGTTTTTACATGTTGCGTTCTTAAAATTACTGTAAGTCTTCCTGTTGTCTTTTACATTTTTAGGGTTTGATGCCAGTATGAAGTCTCAGGTGGATATTAAGGCCTCAGCACTAAGGTTTTCCCCACATTTCTTACATACAGATGGCTGATCCCTAAAGTGAGCTATGTGCTATCAAAGCATGTGAACATATTTTAAGCTGTATCTCATTCTTACCTTCACGTGACTTTTACAGTAATCTCTTATTTATTTATTTATTTTTTTTTTTTACTGCACATGCTAATGGGAGGGGCAGAGAGGGAGAGGGAGAATCTCAAGTGGGCTCCATGCACAGCACAGAGCCTGATGATGTGGGCTCATCTCACAACTGTGAGATCATGACCTAAGCCAAAATCAAGAGTCAGGTGCTTAACCAACTGAGCCACCCAGGCGCCCCTCTTATTTTTACATATTCCGAGATCAAGAGTCACATGCTCTACCAACTGAGCCAGCCAGGCGCTCCTGAGTTTTACAGAAATTTTAGGTACGTAAAATTAATGTTAGCACAACAGCAACAAAGACTCTCCCACACTCCTTGTAATTGTAGGGTTCTCTCAAGTGTGAGTTCTTACATGTTCTGTAAGGTATGAACAATTACTGCTCTCCCACATACATTATACGAATGGGAATTCTGCCCCAGGGAAGTTCCTATTACGTAAGGATGAAAAATGAGTAAAGCGATCTCACATTCTTTAATTTCATAAGGTTCTTTATCCAAATGAGTTTAGATGTGAATACGAAAGGGGCTCCTGGGTGGCTCAGTCAGTTAGGCGTCCCACTTCGGCTCAGGTCATGATCTTGTGGTTCGTGAGTTCGAGTTCCCACGTTGGGCTCTGTGCTGACAGCTCAAAGCCTGGAGCCTGTTTCACATTCTGTGTCTCCCTGTCTCTTTCTGCCCCTCCCCCGCTCACACTCCATCTCTCAAAAATAAATAAACGTTAAAAAACTTTAAAAAGATGTGAATACTAAGGTCTGAGGAACATTTGCAGGCGTTTCTCAAGTGCTGAAGACTGAGTGGAGGTTTTCCCACATTCCCTACATTCATACAGTTTCTCTCCAGAGGGAGTTCGCATGTGCATGTTAAAGCACATGGAGTATCTGAAGGCTTTCCCACATTCTTTACATTTGTATGGCTTTCCTGCAGTGTGTGTTCACATGTGCATATTGAGATTTGTGGAACGAGCAAAAGCTTTCCCACATTCTTTACGAGCATAGGTCTTCTCTCCAGTGTGAGTTCTTAACTGTGTGGTAAGGCCCGGTGACTGAGTGAAAGCTTTCCCACACTGCCTGCCTTCATACGGCTTCTCTCTGATGTGCGACCTTACGTGCTGACTGAGCAGTGAAGAATTATTAAAGGCTTTTCCACATTCCTTACATTCGTGTAGTTTTTCTCCAGTGCGACTTCGCATGTGTAAAAGAAGTCCTGTGGATCGAGTAAAGGCTTTCCCACATTCCACACATACAGAGGGCTTTTTTCTGCTGTGAGTTCTTCTGTGACCCGTACGGTATGAGGAATGAGTGAAGGCTTTCCCGCAGTCTTTACATTCATATGGCTTCTCTCCAGTGTGGTGTCTCACATGCACCTTACGGGATGACTGATTAACAAAAGTTCTCCGACAATGTCTTTCCCTTGTGTCTGAGTTTTCGTGTGCCCAGTAAGGTCTGAGAGCTAGCCAAAAGCTTTATCGTGTTGAACCCTCTCAGTCTTCTCTCCGACAGGGATTTCTTTGAGCAAAGTACAAATAAAGTTCGTTTCAAAGGCTTCTCCATTCTCATTACCCCTAGAAGTTTCCTGTCTAATGTGAGTCGTGAGTGTCCACTAAACGCTCTTCGACACAGGTTAGAACCGTCTCGTCTTGCCCAACACTGCTTCTCTCCTGCTGATTAGGGTTTAAATGACAACTAAAGACTTTTTCACGCTCATTATGAAAGAACTTCTCCCCTCATCACAACTTTTATATATTGGAAACATCATAATTGAAGGCTTTGGTTTTTTGTTTTCCCATTTAAGTGTACAGAGATCCTGCCCTGTTTTTGAGTTATTTTAAGCTGAACAGACAGACTCTGAGGCTAGGACCCTGCATTATATCCTCTACTTTCACAGTATCTTACACAGTTACTCCGGTAATTACCCATACTACATCATTTAAAACCTAAATTATTCCAACTAAATCCCTGTGTATCAAAAACTGAACACCTGAGCTGTGTATATGTGGATCTCTGAGGAGAAACAGGTGGAAATAGGTTTGGCGTGCTCCTCAAGTTCCTGATATTCAAAGAATCTTCACAGATTCTGCTTTCTTTGGGTAAACGACATTTATTTCATATCATTCTCCTGGATTTTGTACTTCTTGCCTTGATGTGGGGAAAGGAAATACTTTTGGAGATCTTACCAACTGTATTCCATTTGGTGTTTTTTCCCAAGGAATCTCATGAAGGGGTGTGGAACCTTTGGTTTGGAGTTGCAAATCCACTTCTGTTAAAAAGTGGGACAATGTAGTCTTGGCGAAAATTTCTGGGATAAAATTGTTTAAAAGCACATAGACTGATGCCACAAAATATGGCGGAGGAGGGAATTCCAGGGCTCCTTCCCACCAGAAAACCAACAAGCTTACAAAAACTATCAAAATAAACTATCATAGCAGTTTGAAATCTAGTAAAAAATGTACATTCACAAAGGGAGCACTGATGGAAGCAGCAGCTATATTTCAGCTAATCATATCATGGTTTGTTGGTTCAAGCCCAGCATCGGGCTCTGTGCTGACAGCTCAGAGCTTGGAGTCTGTTTCAGATTCTGTGTCTCCTTCTCCCTCTGCCCTTCCCCTGTGCTCGCTCTCTCTCTCTCTCTCTCTCTCAAAAATAAATAAATGTTAAAAAAATAAAAAATAAATTCATCAAGTGAGTGCTGAGGCATTTTAATTACCCACCTACCATCCCCACTCTTCGGATCAGCTCCAGCCATGTAGACAACAGGATGCATCCTTGAGCAAGTTGCGAGGGCTCAAAGGAGCGCTATGGACCTTGTTCTCAAAGAAGCACCACTGGGTGCTTCGATCTTTCTGGCAGCTTCCTTTAGTATCACCGCCGCAAGGGTGTGGCATTATATCACCCAACTCAGAGAGTTCCAGGAACAAGGCAGCATCTCAGACAACTTTTTTTTTTAATTTTTTTAAATTTTTATTCATTTTTGAAAAAGAGAGAAAGAGCACAAGCAGGGATGGGGAGGAGAGAGAGGGGGACACAGAATTAGAAGCAAGCTCCAGGCTCTGAGCTGTCAGCACAGAGCCCAATGCGGGGCTCGAACCCACGAACCATGAGATCATGACCTGAGCTGAGGTCAGATACTCAACCAACTGTGCCACTCAGGTGCTGCTCAGACAACTTCTGATGAAGATGTCTAGAGCCAAAATATTGCCTAGAGCAGCCCGAGGAAAGGGAGAGCATTTGGGACAAACAAAACATAGCCTGAAAGGCCTTAGAAGGCACAGACCGGAAATGTTGATATGTGCGTGAATAGGGGCTTTATTTTATTATTTTTTTAATGTTTATTTTGAAGGAGAGAGAGCACAGCAGGGGAGGGGCAGAGAGACAGGGACACAGAATCTGAAGCAGGCTCCAGGCTCCAAGCTGTCAGCACAGAGCCTGATTCGGGTCTTGAACTCACAAACTGTGAGATCATGACCTGAGTTAAGCCAGATGCTTAACCAACTGAGCCACCCACTGCCCCTGAATAGGACTTTAAAAGCTCGAGTGTTTACCAGAGAATCAAGAAGTCCATAAGCACCCCTGGGGCTGGATGCATGCTGGGAAAGGGTGAGAGGATCCAAAGAGGATCCAAAGATCAACCTCTGGCTGATCGTCAGGATCCACTCCAGCAGGGACGGAAGACTAAGGAAGAGCTGTAGACGGCCTAGCTAAACACCAAAGGAGTGGCCCAACACACAGCCCATCAACAAAAACCAAAAGAACATTTTTAGTTTTCTTCTCTTGGCTCCGGGCATTTAAGGAATTTCTGTCACTCTAGTTTAGTGACCACTAAATTAACAGAACACAGATTTCAGAGACAGCACTAAAAAGAAATGCAGAACATACAAAAATAATTTATAAAAGCCACTAAGCAAACATCAACAATACACAACAAGCAGCAACAGCAAACCCTGGGAGAGGGGTGAATCAGATTTTCAAACAGCAGCATTATGATATCTAGAATTTATGTTTCTAGGGCTCCTGGGTGGCGCAGTCAGCTGAGCATCTGACTCTTGATTTCGGCTCATGTCATGATCCCAGGGTTGTGGGATTGAGCCCCGTGTTGGGCTCTGTGCTGAGTGTGGGGCCTGCGTGGGATTCTCTCTTTCTTTCTCTTTCTCTCTCTCTTTCTCTTTCCCCCTCTGCCTCTCTCCCTTGCTCATTTACTCTCTCTAAAATTTAAAAAAAAAAAAAAATTGCTCCTAAAAGCAAAAGCACGGGACTTAGTAACAACCTTAAATCCATTTGTTTCAACACACCCAGCTAACAGAAACCATGGACAAAGAACTATAGGAAACTAGAAGAATTATGTTTCGCTAAAGAAATTATCAATACGAGACAAACAAAAAAGAACCAAAAGACAGGCACCTGGGTGACTCAGTTGATAAAGTGTCAGACCTCGGCTTGGGTCATGATCTCAAAGTTCGTGGGTTCGAGCCCCACGATGGGCTCTGTGCTGACAGCTTGGAGCCTGGAGCCTGCTTTGGATTCTGTCTTCCTCTCTCTCTGCCCCCCCCCCCACTCATACTTTGTCTCTCTCTCTCTCTCCTTCTCTCTGTCAAAAATGAATAAACATTAAAAACGAATTCTTTTTTTTTAAAGAACCAAAAGAACTAAAAAGCACAGTATCAAAAATGGGTGGTAGAGGGGCACCTGGGTGGCCCAGCTGGTTAAGCACCCAGCTTCAACCCAGGTCATGATCTCATGGTTTCTGAGTTCTAGCCCCGCATCAGGCTCTGTGCTGACAGCTCAGAGCCTGGAGCCTGCTTTGGATTCTGTCTCTCTTTCTCTCTCTCTGCCCCTCCCCCTTTTGTGTGTGCTCTTGCTTGCAAACTCTCTCTCCAAAATAAATAACTAAAAACAAAAAAAATGGGTGGTACAGGCAAAAGGATAGACATAAACATGAATCCAGAAAAAGAAAAGAAAAAAAAACAAAAAACATACTCTCAACAGTGTGCCAGGACAATTTAATGGGGGAAAGAATAGTCTCTTCAACACCTAGTGCTAGGATACCTGGATAGCTCTATGCAGAAGAATCAAAGCAGACCCCTGATTCAGACCATATACACAAATTCACTGAAAATGGATCAAAAATCTGGGGCGCCTGGGTGGCTCAGTTGGTTTAGCGTCTGACTTCAGCTCAGGTCATGATCTCTCGGTCTGTGAACTCCAGCCCCACGTTGGGCAACGTGCTGACAGCTCAGAGCCCGGCGTCTGCTTTGGATTGTGTCTCACCACCCCCTGCCCCTCCCCCACTAGTGCTCTGTCTCACTCTGTCTCTCAAAAATAAATAAATGTAAAAAAAATTTTTTAATAAAAAAAAATAAAGTAAAAATGGACCAAAAACCTAATGTAAAGGCTAAAACTATTAAAAAATCTTAGAAGAAAGCAAGGGGGTAAATCTTTAGAACCTTGGATCTGACAGTGTCTAATCTTCGTAAGATATGAAAAAGCACCAAAGAAAACAAAGATAAATGGGACCCCACCAAAATTAAAACTGTTTGTGCATCAAAAAACACCATCAAAAAGAGCATAACGATATCCCCAAAATGGGAGAAAAAACATGCAAATCATACATGTGCTTTGGGCCCGCTATGAGAGGCCAGAAAGAACTCCTGCACGTCAACAACAAAAAACAACACAGGGTAAAAAAGGGGCAAAGAACTTGAATCAGCATTTCTCCAAAGACACAGAAATGGTCAACAAGCACAGGATAAGATGTTCAACATCATTTGTTTTAGGGAAATGCACATCAAAACCACGGTAAGACACCACTGCATACTCTAGGATGGTTACTATTAAAACAAAAAAAGAAGATGGGGCACCTGGGTGGCTCAGTCGGCTAAGCATCCGATTCTTGATTTCAGCTCAGGTCATGATCTTACGGCTCATGAGTTTGAGCCCCAGGTGGGGCTCTGTGCTGACAGCGCAGAGCCTGCCTGGGATTCTCTCTCTCCCTCACTTTCTGCCCCTCCCCAGCTCGTGCACGTGCACTCTCTCTCTCTCTCTCTCAAAATAAATTTTTTTTAATGTTTGAGAGAGAGAGAGAGAGAGAGGGAGAGACAGAGATATAGAGTATGAGTGGGGAAGGGGCAGAGAGTGAGGGAGACACAGAATCCGAAGCAGGCTCCAGTCTCCTAGCTGTCAACACAGAGCCCGATGTGGGGCTAGAACTCACGAGCTGTGAGATCATGACCTGAGCTGAAGTCGCATGCTTAACTGGCTGAGCCACCCAGGTGCCCCAAAATAAGTAAAATTTTTAAGAAGATTTAAAAAACAGAAAAGAAAAAAAGGAAATAAGTGATGATAGCAAGAATGTGGAGTAACTTCCACACTGTCCAAGGGAATATAGTACGGTACAGCCTCTATATAAAATAGTTTAGTAATTCTTAACAAGTTAAACATAAAAGGACCATATGCCCCCACACATTGTCATGAAATTGAATTCTGTATGATTTTACTAGATATGTACGGAATAGGTACACCTGTACATAGAAAGTAGATTAGTGGTTGCAGGGGCTGGGGGTAGGGCTGAACGGAGGCTGACTGCTGATTGGTTACAGGGTTTACTTTTTAAGCGAAAGTATTTCGGAACTAAAAAGAGCTGATGGTTGCACACCACTGTGAATGTACTCAGTACCAATAAATCACACTCACCAAAATGGTTCATTGGTGTATTTTATCCAAAAAGAAAAAAAAAAACATATGGCACATACTTGTATCTAAATATGAGTGGAACAAGACAAAAAGGTTGAAAAAAGGGAACTTGGGACTACACAGAGGGCAGTGTGTTAGAGAAGTCTGGCAATCATAAGAGTATGGGGTCGAAACTGCAGGCAATTTACAAAGCTTAATACTCAGGAAAACTAAGGCTAACGGTACATAAAAAACACTGAGACAGTCAGGAAACAAAATAGAAAGTATTGTAAAAAGACCTATCTGCGGGGCGCCTGGGTGGCGCAGTCGGTCAAGCGTCCGACTTCAGCCAGGTCACGATCTCGCGGTCCGTGAGTTCGAGCCCCGCGTCAGGCTCTGGGTTGACGGCTCGGAGCCTGGAGCCTGTTTCCGATTCTGTGTCTCCCTCTCTCTCTGCCCCTCCCCCGTTCATGCTCTGTCTCTCTCTGTCCCAAAAATAATAAACGTTAAAAAAAAAAAAAAAAATTAAAAAAAAAAAAGACCTATCTGCAAGTAATGAAATTTTCAAATGAGCCAGACAGGTCTTTCTGAGAGAACAGAAGAAGGTTGACATCAATGGAAATTTAAAGGTAAAGGGAGTTAAAGGTTCCTGAGCAAACTCAGAAACGAAGTGGCTTCGTTCAGCCTTCTCTGAAAAAGGGTAGACCTCCGAAAGCTTACCAAGTGGCATTTCCAAATGGACTGCACCTTTCCTAGACTGGCATCGCTCTGCACAAAACCATATCATGAACTTACCCTGCAGAACTCCTCTCCCTCCTGTCCTCAGCAATTCTGCTGCTTCCAATGCAGAGCTGAGATCAGGTTTGCATGATTTGTATCCTGCTTAAGGGAAAAATACATAAAGAGAACCCTGAAAGACACGAAATGCAGGTCTTTGGATAGGAACCAACATTTTAGCCTTCACGGTTTCTGAAGACAGTGAAGTCTCACTTTATAAACTGCAAAATCATCACATGAAATTTTAAATCAATGCAATAAAACTATTCTAAAAGGAACAAAAATCGAAGTACAGGGATGTCTGGGTGGCTCAGTCGGTTAAGCATCCGACTTCAGCTCAGGTCATGATCTCACAGTCCATGAGTTCGAGCCCCACGTCAGGCTCTGTGGTGACAGCTCAGAGCCTGGAGCCTGCTTCAGATTCTGTGTCTCCCTCTCTCTCTGCCCCTTCCCTGCTCATGCTCTGTCTCTCTCTGTCTCAAAAATAAATAAAAACATTAAAAAACATTAAAAAAATTGAAGTACATTCTTTGTGCCCTCAAAAGACTAGAGAACTCTAAGACCTGAAAATCACATCTGGCCTCATACACATCTTAAGTCTTAAAGTTTTGCAAAACTAAAAGGCAACCGACAGAATGGAAGAAGATATTTGCAAACGACATATCAGATAAAGGGTTAGTATCCAAAATCTATAAAGAACTTCTCAAACTCAACACCCAAAAAACAACTAATCCAGTGAAGAAATGGGCAAAGACATGAATAGACACTTCTCCAAAGAAGACAGATATTACAACCGACACATGAAAAAAATATAAACATCTCATCATCAGGGGAAATACAAATCAAAACCACAATGAGACACCACCTCACACCCATCAGAATGGCTAACATTAACAACTCAGGCAACAACAGATGTTGGTGAGGATGCAAAGAGAAAGGATCTCTTTTGCACTGCTGGTGGGAATGCAAAAGCTGAAAGTGCAGCCACTCTGGAAAACAGTCTGGAGGTTCCTCAAAAAAATACATTACCCTATGACCAATTCTGGGCCAACAGGTACTACTAGGCATTTATCCACCGGATACAGGGTGTGCTGTTTCAGAAAGGGGCACATGCACCCCAGTGTTTGTGACAACACCCCATCGTAATAGCCAAAGTATGGAAAGAGCCCAAATGTCCATCAACGGATGAATGGTCAAAGAAGATTGTGAGATATATATATACAATGGAGCAATATTACCGGCAATCAAAAAATGAAATTTTGCTATTTGCAACTACTTAGATGGAACTGGAGGGTATTATGCTAAGTGAAATTAGTCAGAAAAAGATAAATATCATAGGACTTCACTCATATGAGGACTTTAAGAGACAAAACAGATGAACATATGGGGAGGAAACAAAAATAATATAAAAAACAAAACAGGGAGGACAGAAGACTCATAAATATGGAGAACAAACAGGGTTACTGGAGGGGTGGGGGGGATGAGCTAAATGGTGCAGGGCACTGTTCACTCCTGGAATCTCACTGTTTCACTATATGCTAACTAATTTGGATGTAAATTAAAAAAAAAAAAATTTAAATTAAAAAAAACAAAACAAAACAAACAAGGGGGAAAAAAACAGAGGCAAATCAAGAAGCAGACTCTTAATTATAGGGAACAAACTGATGATTATCTGAGGGGAGGGGAGTAGGAGTGTTGGGTTAAATAGGTGATGGGGATTAAGTAGTACACTAGTTGTAATGAGCATGGGGTACTATGCGGAAATGTTGAGTCACTATATTGTATACCTGAAACTAACACTGTATGTTAACTATAATGAAATTAAAATAAAAACTGAAAAAAAAGTAATAAAATAAAGTCTTAAGGTTTTCATGGGGTGCCTGGGTGGCTCAGTCGATTAAGCATCCAACTTTGGCTCAGGTCATGATCTCACGGTTTGTGAGTTCAAGCCCCGTGTCAGGCTCTGTGCCCACAGCTCAGAGCCTGGAGTCTTCTTTGGAGTCTGGGTCTCCCTCTCTCTGCTCCTCCCCCGTTCACGCTCTGTCTCTGTCTCTCAAAAATGAATGTTAATAAAAAAAAATTTTTTTTTAAGTCTTAAGGTTTTCAGTCCCTAAAAGAGTATCATTTATCTAGACAGATCTTCATTTGCACAGGGAATCCTCCAGAGAGTGAGGCCCCTGAGGCCAGGGATTATGTCTGTCTTGTTTACCACAGTCTTCCCATTTGACAGCAAAGGTACTTAAGAAACATTTATTTCATAAGGGGTTCAGTGAAGAAACGATGCTTACCTAGTGTGATGAGATTCTGGTAGTTCTCCAACATCACATCTCTGTAGAGAACAATCTGTGTTTGATCCAACAAAGTCCACTCCTCCTGGGTAAAGTCCACAGCTACATACTCAAAGGTCACTAAGTGCTAAACCATCAGACACATGCTGCCTTCAGCGAACTAGCATCTTGTTTGAGGTTCTCAGAAAGATGAAGGACTGAGGAAGGTAGACCAGAAGCCTACAGTACTCTCAGGCCCAGACCTCGTCTGCTCTCCAGCTATAGACGTGCCTGGTGATCACAGCCAGTCATGTGGATTTACCAGCATGTCTGACATGTGATGAAACTTATGTTACCACAACTTTATTGTGGGCTCTTCTTGCTTTATTTTCCTCCTCTATTTATAGGCTGCGGTTAGCACTGAGCACACTGTAACACTCTGTAAAATCTACTAAGAGATTAATTATTTCCACAGTAACACATGCATTCCATGAGATTAGATACCTTCATATCATTCCTCAGTATCTATCATAACACTCAGTGAAATGATAAGCCAACAAGCATGATCAAGCATCAGAAAGAATTAATGAATACGGAGATAAAAGAATCACATCCAGTATAATCCCTATGTATTCTGAGATGGCATGAGTCCTGGAGACATTTACCTGGGACTCATTCCTTAAGCAGGGCCATTAATTGCTATAAAAAGCCTGGGGACATTACAAGAAGATAAGGCTTGTATCTGACAGAGAGAAACAGGACATTCTGAATAAAGGTCAACTTTCTACGTACCTGAGAAGAATCCATCAGTAACCCAGCCACCATCCTTGCCTCTTCGAGTTTCCTTTCCTCTAAAGACAGAAAAGGTCCCAAGAAAGATGACCTCAGAGAGAAGAAGGCCATGAACTCTGAAGCCAATCCAATTCCAATAACCACATGCCTACGAACGGTCCACACCATGCACAGAACACACACCAAACACGCTAATTCCATATGACTGAGTTACCTGGAGCAAGACGATGGTTTTCTGGATCTTGCTACCCACGAGATACAGGTTAAAAATTCCATCTTACGGGCACCTGGGTGGCTCAGTCAGTTGAGCATCCAACTCTTGATTTCACCTCAGGTCATGATCTCACAGTTATGAGATCGAGCCTTGGGTCAGGCTCCACACAGTCTGCTTGGGATATTCTCATTCTCTCTCTCTTTCCCTGCCCTTGCCCCACATGTGCACATGGGTGCTCTCTCTCTCAAAATAAATAAACATTTTTTTTTTAATTCCATCTTGAGTTATACAAATTACAGTGAGGCAGAGCTGTTTGACACAATAGAATTCGTGAATATATTACCCCCTGAAAAAGCGCGCACACACACACACACACACACACACACACACACACACCTTCCTGCATCTCAAATCCCAGAAACCTGACTTATACACACTCTGCTCATTTCAGTCACGCTTATATGGTCCACCACATGATCACTCAGCCCCGAGTGCTGGCTCTGCCATTTGTGAAGGAACTACATGAAGCAAACAAATTTGGAAAGAAGCATCAGCAAGGACTCACCACCCACCTGATTCACATCAAGGGCTGCCATCCTGTGAATCTGATAGAGTTTCCAGAATATTCCATCTCTTGCTCAGACCACTTCAGAGGAGCTTTTGAGTTTAAGACGTTGATCTCAATTTCTCTTCATACACTGGAGTGTATGGTTCACAACATCCATCATTAAACTGGTTCACAACATCCATCATTAAACATCAGACATTTTTCCTCAATCATCAACCATCACTCTTTCGCCATATCTGTGCAGATGAAAACACATGACAGCCGTTAAAAACCATCTAATACCCTATCATACAAATATTATCAACTACTATTTACTATTATTAGTAGTTGTACATATATAATCTCCTTTCGTTGTTAGAACAACACTCCAAATTGGGTATAAATAACTATCATTTAATAATACTCCGTCCACACCCTCTGCTGGGCATAATGGAGATGAGAAATACAAAAGGTTTTATGCAATCAGAAGTCCCTCTGAGTACCCACTGCTGGAGCTTGGCTGGATTTGGAACCTTCACCTCCTTCTGTCTCTTACTGCTTCATGCAGTCAGCTAATATTCAGTAAGGACCTTCTTTAAGCCAGGCCAGGTATGAGGCAATGAGGAGGGAACAGTTCTTGGGGATCTCACAATTAAATGGGGCAATGGAGGTAATACACAGATGGACATCCGAAACTGAATATTGTGATTTTAGAAAAACTCGAAATACATTTCTAATGTTAGCCACTCCAACAGTGTCGGAAACACATCGTTGTTTTTATGTCGAAACTGAAGGCTTTCCATATTTTCTCACAATTAACCAAAGACTAGTACACAAATATATTGTGCATCTTTTTGCCTTTTCATATTGCTGTTCAGTTCTACTTTTCTCCATTAAATATTGGTTTTATTTTTATTCACCCTTTCAGTACATTTTCTTCTTCTCCCTCTCCTCCTCCTCCTCCTCCTCCTCCTCCTCCTTTTTGAGAGAGAGGGGAGAGAAGCAGGGCTTACCCTGCTGGGGCTCGTGCTCACCTGAAATGGGGCTCAAGCTCAACGGATGTGCAAACTCACGAACCGTGAGATCCTGACCTGAGCTGAAGTCTGATGCTTAACCAACGGAGTCACCCAGGCTCCCAGTATATTTTCTTCTACTTCTATATTCCTTGCTCAACTTTATCAAGCAGCGCCCTTAGTTCCATTTCTTAAACTTCTTTTATGGAATTACAGCATACATATGACTAAGGGAGGCAATCATGAATAAAAATCTCAATGAAGTATTCAGAAATGAACAGCCCCATGTAACATCATTCCAGGTTGAGAAATAGAATATTTCCATATCCAGCATCTCAGACATATTCCTTGTCTCTTTTCCAAATCGCTAACTCCACGCTTCCCAACTGCAACCACTATCCTGACATTTAACACTCGGCGGCGTACTGCCTATTTTTGAATTTTTATTTAATTTTTTTAATGCGTATTTACTTTTGAGAAAGACAGAGAGACGGAGGGAGGGGCAGAGAAGAGACAGAGAATGCCAGGCAGGCTCTGAGCTGTCAGCACAGAGCCCAACGTGGCGCTCAATCTCACAAACCATGAGACCATGACCTGAGCCAAAATCAAGAGTCAGACGCTTGACTGACTGAGACACTCAGGCACCCCATTTTTTTCTAACCTTTTTCATGTTTATTTACTTTTGAGAGAGAGAATTTTAAAGCAAAGGTATCTAACAGCCTGCAATCTTTTGCGTCTGGCTTCTTTCATCGGACATTGCTTGTGAGCTTCATCCAAGAGGTTACCTCTGCGTTCCTTCTCTTTGCTCATTTTGAGTATGCCACAAAAAATACACACCACAAGTCATCGGCTCATCCCTTGATCCACTTTCAGTTACTTCCAAGCGAGGGATAGTTCAAATAATGATGTTACATATAGTGTTTATGTTCAATTGGTGGCCACGTGTGTGCATCACTGGTGTGTCACCACCAGATCATATTTAGTTGATATACTTTAAAAATGTGTTTCCACTAGCAGTCTACGAACATCTCAACCAATACCGGGCACTGTTTTTCCCTTTTCAGTTTTACTTTTAGCCATTCAGTGCGTGCAGTAGTAGCACACTGTGGTTTTTATTTGCAAATCCCTGGTTGCTAATGACATGGAGCACCTCTTTATATATTCGTTGCCCATCTGTTTTTGTTTTTGGTTTTAATGGAAGGGCCTATGCAAACCTCTTGTTCATTTCTCACTTTGGGTATTAATCTACAGTTTTTACATAACTCCTTTGTTGTTACATGGGAGGCAATTAACCCGATGCTAAAGATGAAATATGCCTGCAACTTATTTCCACCTCCTTACTTTCAAAGAGGTTACCACAAACATTTAACTCTACACATGGAGAGAGATGTAGAGAAGGTACACTATGTATGCATGCTAAATACTAACAACTGGTCAAACGTACAGCAAGGCAACACCTGAACAATTCATCACATTTCAGTAACGGGTGGCCACAGCCAGAGCATTTCCGTCCAGTCCCCACCGGAACGCACCGCAATCGCCACGTCGGAGAGAAGGGGGCGCTGCGGCCGTTTTCCACAACCGCGTACACGTTTCTCCTCTGGAGAAAGGACATGGTTTGTTCTGGCAGCTTTCGCAGAGAGGCTCACAGCGGGCAGAGAGAAGGCCCTGCCTCCACTCGGGACCCCGAGCCGCGGCCCCGACCCCCACCCGCGCGGGCGGAGCCGACCGAGGCTCTGGGACGGACCCGGGCGGCCTCGGTCCCTCGGTCGGGCGCACCCGCGATTCCCCACCAGTCGCGGAAGCTCGAAACCTCCGGGGAGCCAACGCATTAGAAGCGGGGCGGAGCTCGAAGTGAGTCGGTTTCCGATTAGCACTTCCGCTTCCGGTTTCCGCCACGAGGTCAGCGTACGGGACGGGGCCTCAAGAGCAGAGGGGTTGGGTCCCGGGAGGCAGCCGCTGCTTGCGGATGTCTGGGGAGCGGGCTGGAGCTGGGTCCCGAGCTGGCTGTCGCACCCACCACGTCCGAGGCGCAACGCTGGGATGTCCGAGGGCAGGGGACCGAGTTAGAAGCGGCACGGACACGGTGGGCGGGGTTTGCCCCCAGTTCCGGGCCACGGAAGCTCTTGAAATGCTCTCTCTTCTTCAAGACTTTCTCCTTGTTGGTTCAGCCCCAGGCGGCGCTCTGCATATTTATAAAGATGAGCCTGCTAGCCCGTAAAATGAGCTCCCAGCTCATCAGTCCTCTCTCTGACCTTCAGCTTTAAGGTAGAATCCTCATAGCACATAATTAACCCATTTAAAATGTACCATAGTATAGTCAGAGTTGTGTATCCATCACCACAATCAATTTTAGTACATTTTCATAATCACAAAAGGAAACCCAGTACCCTCTTAGCCATAATCTTCCCACCTCACCACCCCCACTCCCCCAGCCCAAAGCAACAATGTAGTTTGGGGTTTTTTTTGTTTTGTTTTTTGTCTCTGGGGATTTGCCTATTCTGACATTTCATGTAAACAGGATATTACAACATGTGGTCTTTGTGTCTGGCCTTCTTTGACTTCCATAATGTTATCAAGGTTCATCCATGTTGTAGTGTGTACCAGTCTTTATTTCTTTTTCTTATTGAGTAGTATTCCACTGTGTGGGTGTGTCACAATTTATCCACTCAACAGTTAATGGACATTGGGTTATTTCCACTTTTTTTGGCTATTAAAAATAACATGGCGGGGGGGGGGGGGGGGGGCGCGCCTGGGTGGCTCATTCGGTTAAGGGTTAAGTGTCAGACTTTGAATCGGGTCATGATCTCACAGTACGTGGGTTCAAGCCCACATCAGGCTCTGTGCTGACAGCTTGGAGCCTCCTTCAGATTCTGTGTCTTCCTCTCTCTCTGCCCCTCCCCCATTTGCACCCTGTCTCTTTCAAATATAATCAAAACACATTAAAAAATAACATTTAAAAATAACATGGGATATTTTTTGAACAGTGATCAGAGGAAAATTCATATTCCTAAATGTATCCTTAAAAGTGAGATAATAGGGGCGCCTGGGTGGCGCAGTCGGTTAAGCGTCCGACTTCAGCCAGGTCACGATCTCGCGGTCCGTGAGTTCGAGCCCCGCGTGGGGCTCTGGGCTGATGGCTCAGAGCCTGGAGCCTGTTTCCGATTCTGTGTCTCCCTCTCTCTCTGCCCCTCCCCCGTTCATGCTCTGTCTCTCTGTCCCAAAAAAAATAAATAAACGT